CTGTCCCATAAAAAACAGATCCCCATACCCGGAAGGATGATGACTCCACCATTCCACCATATGAGCTTCAAAGGAGTTCTCAAGAAGCCACATGTTTTCGAATTTCCATGGCCTATTAACTCTCTCCTCCTCACCCCACATAAGCTGCAACGGGTTGTGATCCGACTCAACTCTGTCAAGAGCAATCAGTCTACAGTTCTGGAATATGGCATCAAAATGACAACAAATCAAGCAACGATCAATTCTAGACAAAGAAGGGGAAGCTCTACCGCTGCTCCAAGTAAACGAGGCTCCCACCAGAGGGAGGTCAATAAGGGCCGAGTCCGCAATGAAGGAGTTGAACTCATTAATCATATCAGAACTTCTAAGGGCTCCTCTATACTCGTCGTGAGAACGAACAAGATTAAAATCGCCCACAATACAGATAGGAGAGCTGAGAATCTGACAATAGGACCTTAGAGCAGCAATGAACCTCTCCTTGTCTCCACTGTCTTGAGGCCCATAGACGATCACAATACAGAAATTTTTCCTGTCCTGAACATCTTCCATTTGCACCGCCAAAAAGAATTCACTCTCCTGCTAGTCAAGCTTCTTGAACACCATCCCATCCCAATAAATTAAAATACCTCCCTTGGTCTCAGTAGCATTCTTGGCCACCCACTTAGTATCCCTGTTACCACTAACCGTACTAACCAGAGCTTGATCACAAGAATCCCATTTTGTTTCAGTAAGACCAACCAGACACGGTTTCCTTCTTCGCAGAATCCTCTTGATCCTAGCTCTTTTCTGTTCACATCCCAAACCCCTAACATTCCAAGCAATAATAGACTTACCCAAGATATGATAACGTGTGAATCCATAACCTTCTTTTTCCTGCGTCTCGATCCTTCAACAGGGCTAATAATAGGTCCAAGCCGATGAAGTTCCATTTCTGCTTTCGAACGAGGCAACCGCTTCTTTATTTCATGGGTAAGTGAGATGATTGATTGCAATTGAGTATCCAAGTCGATGGATGCATCTTCATCAATAGTAAGTTCAAACAAAGTGCTCAAGCGATGGCTGCAATTGGCAAGGCTTTCAAGGTCAAAGGGTGGGGAAGCAGTGCTGAATTCAAGGCTATCACAATGGCTCGTCGGCCGGGATTGCGGCTGTCAGGCTCTATGAAGGAGGGGAAGTCAAGAGGGAAGGGAGACAAGGATAGATCAGGGGTTGGGTTTGGGGTTGTGGTTAAGGAAAAAGGCATAGCCGGATTTATTCGCGGATCCCGATCCCGAACATTTTTATATGGTCTAGACATGTACACTATGTTTGGCAACAAGTGGGTGCAAGTTTGAAAGGGGTGCAAGTTGATGGGTAAATTGCTTGGGGGTGCAACTTGGTGATACCATATTGTACATAAATATTTTTAGATTGGGATAAAAATACTGAACTTATTTTGGGATTGAGGGTGATTTTAGATAGGGATATCAACAAGTTCGGTTGGGCCCGGTTTTCCTATATAGCATCCCCAAACCACAGTCCAAGTTGCACCCCCAAGCAATTTACCCATCAACTTGCACCCCTTTCAAACTTGCACCCACTTGTTGCCAAACATAGTGTACATGTCTAGACCATATAAATCCTTGTCTCCCTTCCCTCTTGACTTCCCCTCCTTCATAATGATCTTTTTAAATAAAATACATATACAAGTGTATAATTGGGCAGGTTTGGGTTGGCGCGGATGGATTTCACATGAACCGTACACGAATAAGTTTCGGTATGTCATATTACACCTCTACCTACTTTCGATGTTGGGGATGGTTATGATTTTAAAACTGTGGTTTGGGGATGCTATATAGGAAAATCGGGCCCAACCGAACTTGTTGATATCCCTATCTAAAATCACCCTCAATCCCAAAATAAGTTCAGTATTTTTATCCCAATCTAAAAATATTTATGTACAATATGGTATCCCTGAATACTAAATTAATTACTTTCGTAATAAATAGCTAAATATAAAAGTAAATTATGGTCTTAGCACTCCCGATCCCGAACATTTTATATGGTCTAGACATGTACACTATGTTTGGCAACAAGTGGGTGCAAGTTTGAAAGGGGTGCAAGTTGATGGGTAAATTGTTTGGGAGTGCAACTTGGTGGTGGGTGCAAGTAGATGGGTAAATTGTTGTTTGGATGAAAAAGTAGAGGGGTGCAAATAGAGTGAAAAGTAAGTTATTATATTATTATAAAATAGATTTATCAAAATTTTAAAATATTATCACAAAATAGTATAAATGAAAATCAATATATAATAATAAATATTAAAATATTATATTATATTAAAATATTATATTATAATAATAAAATTATTATATAATAATGCTCAAATAATAATTAATTATAACAACACTAACAATCATTGGTCGAGCGACCTCGAAATTGGAAACCCAACTCGTAACTGGTCATCCTAAGGGGGTTCTCGTGCCTAACTTTAAATTGAATATGGTCAAACTTAGTCAAACACGTCCAAATTTGTAAGTTTTAACTATTTAGTCAAGTAAACTGAGCCAACTAAACCAGTCATCTCTATCTTTTCCACAAATGCTTATTATCTTATTTCTAATTTTCAATACAAATTCGAGTCAACCAAAAGATATCGATTTGACTAGACGAACATTGACAAACTTGCTATCGAAGTCAAACGGTTAACCCCGAACAATGTCTACATTAATGATAGATATAAGAAAAAGTTAATAATATTAATTATTATGTTTACCCCTCTACTGTTACAAAATAACCAAACAGGGGTAAACACCTTGAAACTTGTGTTTACCTCCCAACCTTGCACCCCCTCTCATTTGCACCTCTTCCCAAACATAATGGTAGGGTTGAGGAGAGAACATAAACTCCCTTGTTGCGAGACATAAGGTGGATCTGGAGGGAGAAAAAAAGACATTGACGGTTGTTGTGGCTTTCTTTGCCAAAATACCTTAGGAGCTTGGGGGAAGGAAAAGAAGAAGACAGCTGGTGGCTTCGGGATTCTTCGAGAGACGGGAGGCGGGTCTAGATGGAGGATCTATAGGAATGGAGACGAAGTGTGGTGGGAGGGAGGGGATTTTCGGATCGGTCGCTCTCAATCTCCAAATCCAGATGAAGGATCTATTGGTAATCCCCCTGTGCAATGAGGGGAACATAGGTGTCGTCGGAGTAGTGGATGTGGGGGTTACCAAGAATTAGGAAAAATATAAATTCATATAGTTTAATTTTCAAAGTCGATTGATTGTCAAACATTTATTTTCTCTCTTTCAACCGTTATATATTGTTTCATAAAAAAATTATGATTATTTATGTGTTTGCTTAATTTTTAATCAAAATTTAACTTACTATTAGGTTTTAGTAAAACTGAATAGAAAATTTACTTGTAAAGATTTGATTAGATATTTTCAGTTTAAATAAATGTGATATATGTCACTCTCTTTTTCAATCTTCAATTTTTTTTAATTGACAAAAATATTATTATTTATGTGTGGGCTTGTTTAAAATTTTCATCAAAATATAACTTATTATAATGTTTTAGTAAAACTGTGTTGAAAATTTGCTTGATAAAGTTTAATTATATATATTTTCACTTTACACATGATATATGTCACTTTGTGAACATTGGGAAAAATAAAAATGAATTATTAGAATTATTAAGCCGCAAGTACCCAAAAAATCTGGCACTATTTTTTTTGTGTGTCTTTTATCTCTTCTTCGGGGCATTCCCTCCCGGCCTCTCCAATGTCCTCTCTGAGAAATCAATAGAAGAAGCAGAGGACGGCGGAGATGGGGCCATCCCTTCGTCTCCCATTTCTTCTCCACGAAAGAAAAAGAAGAATTAGAGATCGAGGAAGATGTGGCTTGAACGGGACTCTTGGATCTAGGTTAGACGTTATCTTGCCTTGCTCCGCAAAATCGATTAAAGAAGCATAGGGCCTTTGGGAGGAGATGCGATAATATTTTTGGATGGGAATGGTAACATGGGTGGTTGGAAGGGAGCCTGCTCCGCCGCCGATCTCTCTTTTCAGAGGTTGTCGTTTCTTTCTTCTCCGCTACAAAATCGAGGGTTCACCACCTCTGCGAATCTAAAGCCACCATAGATCTACTTTCATGCAAAATCGAATCCACGCTTTGTACCCCTCTCCCTCTTTGTTTCCCCCTTTTTGATCTCGGGGTTTTGATCACCCACCCGGCATCAACTCTATTTTATGGCTTGGATGAGTTAGTCCCAGTATGAAATCAAGAGGAAGAAATTACCTTTCATTTCAATTTACGCAAATGTGATATATGTCACTTCACGAACATTAGAAAAAAGAAAAATGAATCATTGGATAAAAAGAACAGAATTGCTTAGGGATGTTGATACGAACTACTTTTAGCTCAAACCATTCACCCCAGTCACGTCTATGAAACCTCCACCACTATCCTAAGTCCCTATGCTCCTGCAGCTGGCCTCCAAGCTTTTTAAGTGCCATGGTATTCCCCATTGGTTGTGATCCATATTTACCTCCTTGGGTTTGGGGAGAAAGATCTCTTCCCAGTCCCACTTCTTCTTCCCAATCTCGTAAAAAATAATTTGAAACATCAGATGGTGAATCGGCTTAACTGCAGCTGTTGTTATGTAGTTAGCAGTAAGCATATGCATCCAATTCCAAGGCTGCTGAGATCACCCAGTTGTTGATGTGTCAATTCACTACTCTATCCATCTCTGACAGTCATATCCTCCTTCCTTCATTGCTAACGGGATTTTTGCAACTCCCGAGGCGGTGGTGCTTCACGTATTGGAAACAACAACTTCATCAATCATATCCCTTTCCCCCCGCCTCCCTCCCTCTCCGAATTCTATCAACAATTGCGTCACTCCCTTAACAACTTGCAGAAAATTTTACTGACGATAACTCTCTATATATCCATCCATTCGCCTTTCTCCAACCAGCGAAATAAGGAAAATCCTGCACACGTAGCTTTTACAACTTCAAAAAATGATGGGAACCTACACTTACTCTGCACCCGCCGCAACCGCCAAGAGAAGCACGGTTGGAGGCTACGATGCCCCCGACGGCGTCGAAATTCGGGGCCGCTACGACCAGGAATTCGCCAAGATCCTGTCCAGGGATGCCCTGCAGTTTGTCGCCGAGCTGCAGAGGGAGTTCCGGAACCGCATCAGGTTCGCTCTCGAGTCCCGCCGCGAAGCCAAGGCCAGGTACAACGACGGAGCGGTCCCGGGCTTCGATCCTGCCACCCGGGTCATCCGAGACGCCGACTGGACTTGCGCCCCCGTTCCCCCTGCCGTCGCCGACCGCCGAGTCGAGATCACAGGCCCTGTCGGGAGGAAGATGATCATCAACGCCCTCAATTCCGGAGCCAAAGTTTTCATGGTCACTTAATTGCTTACTTATTTACTCAGTCAGGAAAATTTAATATTGATCGTAATGATAATCTGATTTTGTTGATCATCCCGCTCTGTACGTATTGTTGCAGGCTGATTTTGAAGATGCTCTGTCCCCGACGTGGGAGAATCTGATGAGAGGGCAGGTGAATCTGAGAGATGCTGTTGATGGGACGATCAGCTTCCAGGACAAGGCCAGAAACAGGGTCTACAAGCTGAATGACAATACGGCCAAGTTGTTCGTTCGCCCCAGAGGGTGGCACTTGCCTGAATCCCACATCCTGATCGACGGCGAACCGGCCACCGGCTGCCTCGTCGACTTCGGCCTCTACTTCTACCACAACTACGCTGCCTTCCGCAGAACCCAAGGAGCTGGATTCGGCCCTTTCTTCTACCTCCCCAAAATGGAACATTCCAGGTACCAATTTTTTTGGTAACTGATGTCATTCTAAGCCAATTCCCTCTCAAATTTGTTTGTATCGCCGCGGGCGCTGCTGCAGGGAGGCAAAGATATGGAACAGCGTTTTCGAGAGGGCAGAGAAGATGGCCGGGATCGAGACGGGTAGCATCAGGGCCACCGTTCTGATCGAGACGCTTCCTGCCGCGTTCCAGATGAACGAGATCCTCTACGAGCTAAGAGACCACTCCGTCGGGCTCAACTGCGGGCGATGGGATTACATCTTCAGCTACGTGAAGACGTTCCAGTCTCACCCTGACCGCCTCCTCCCCGACAGAGTCCAAGTCGGGATGGCGCAGCATTTCATGAGGAGCTACTCCGACCTCCTCATCTCCACCTGTCACAGGCGCGGCGTCCACGCCATGGGTGGAATGGTAACCACATCTAATTTGGTTTTTTCAATTCAAATTTCAATTCAAATTTCAAATTGAACCAGAAAAAAAATCTGGGTTACTTACACTCATGTGATGTATGGTGCGTGAATCCCGGAAAAAAACAGGCGGCACAGATTCCAATCAGGGACGATCCGGAGGCGAACGAAGCAGCAGTGGAGCTAGTGAGGAAGGACAAGCACCGGGAGGCGAAGGCGGGCCACGACGGGACGTGGGCCGCGCATCCCGGGCTGATCCCGGCCTGCAATGAAGTCTTCACCGCAGTAATGGGCAGCTCGCCGAACCAGATCCAGTCCATGAAGCGGGAGGAAGCTTACTCCGCAATCACGGAGGAAGACCTGCTGCAGAGGCCGAGAGGGGTCCGGACCATGGAAGGGCTCCGGCTCAACACCAGGGTCGGGATCCAGTACGTCGCGGCGTGGCTGACGGGGACAGGGTCGGTCCCGCTGTACAACCTGATGGAGGACGCGGCGACGGCGGAGATCAGCAGGGTGCAGAACTGGCAGTGGATTAGGTACAATGTGGAGCTGGACGGGGATGGTTTGGGGGTGAAGGTGAACCGGGAGGTGTTCTGGAGAGTGGTGGAGGAAGAGATGGCGAGGATTGAGAAGGAAGTCGGGAAGGACAAGTTTAGGAAAGGGATGTACAAGGAGGCTTCCAGGATTTTCACCAGGCAGTGCACTGCTAAAGTCCTCGATGATTTCCTGACGCTGGATGCTTATAACAATATTGTCCTGCATTTTCCCAGGGGAGGGTCCAAGCTTTGAGGAAGCTGTGGATGGATGGATCGGTTGGAACGAATGGGTTTCTTGGGTTTGCTAGCTTGTTAATTTTGTTGTCTGTCTTATCGTCTCTGTATTTCATCTCTTGCAAGTTTCGTCACTTTGTGTCTCTGTGGTTGTAGTCCTGTGTTTGTTTTTTTTTTGTTTGTTCCAATAAATCGTATGATGTTCTGGACTTAAAAGAAAAATATCAGATAATAATAGTTCATTTACCTTGTATCTTATGACATGTACAAATGGTTGTCTACCGAACGATTCTGAGTTTCGTTATTGTAAGCTCGAACCCAAGTCTTTGACTAAAGAATTAGGTGATGGAACACTTGTCACATTTGATTATAGAAATCACATCAGCAATTAGCAACATTCTTTTGAAGATAAAAAGTAAAGAGTAAAATATTCATAAAATAGGGTTAATACCTTATTTTGACCGAACTATGACCATATAATCAACTTTGGCACGTGGTTTCAGAAATTAACATCTTGGCCTCAACTATGAAGCATATAGACTAAATTGGCCGGACACATGCTTTGACCGTCAATTTGGACGATCAACACTATTGACCGTTAGTCAACACGCCATGTCATTCCCTAGTCAGCCTAAAAATTATTAAAAAATTGATATTCAAATTATTTTTCTAATTATTATTATTTATCATTTTGAAATTAACCAAAAATGAAAATTCAAAAAATATATAATAAATTTTATGTTTTATCTTTTGGGACATTTGAAAATGATAAATTTTATAAATTAAAAAAATTATCAAATTAAATTTTATCAATGTAGAATATATAAAAAACATGACCAAAAAATAAATTTCTAATTCAAATTATTTTTTTAATTTTTATTATTTATCATCATCAAATTAAACAAAAAAATAAAATTATAAAACCATAAAATAATTTATATTTTTTTTGGTAATTTTAGAATGAAATTTTTTATATTTTTTTATAAAAACACAAAAAATTATCAAATTATTATAGATTTTTTAAATTACCCAAAAATAAAATTTTTAATATATATTATTTTTTAAAATTTACCATTTTCAAATGTCCCAAAGATAAATTACAATTTTTTTATATTTTGAAAATTTAATTTTTGGTTAATTTCAAAATGATAAATAATAATAATTAGAAAACTAATTTGAATTTGAATTTTTTAATGATTTTTAGGCTGACTAGGCAATGACATGACGTGTTGACTAACGGTCAATGATGTTGACCGTCCAAATTAACGGTCAAAGCATGTGTTGGGCCAATTTAGTCTATATGCTGCATAGTTGAGGTCAGGATGTTAATTTCTGAAGCCACGTGCCAAAGTTGATTATAAGATCATAGTTCGGGCCAAATAAGGTATTAACCCATAAAAATAAGTAACTGTTAAGTTTGAAATATTAGGGCTAGAGGTTGGATTATTTCGGTTATAATCGAAAACTGACATGTCGGCTATCGGTTAACCGAGTAGCCAGCCGACCCTACCGCCAACCGATCGACAGGTTCAACCGACTGGTCGGTTACCGGTTAGTTGCTCGGTTAACCGAACTAACCGCAACAACACAAATTCACTACAAGTTTGAAGTCACATCTCACATCAAACTTATCAAATGGGAGGAACAGTGGCGGCTGCTGGCTGCTCGTGGACTGGTCAGCGGGGGACTGTGGCTGGCGTCGAGTCGGGAAGCTGGTCGGCGAGGATATGACGGAGCAGTGGCGCGGGTCGAGGAGGGAGATGGCAGAGCCGCTGACGCGAGGTCGCGGCGGCGTCGCTCTCGTGGTCACCGCTAGGGCCTGCGAAAAAGAGAGAACGAGATGGAGGGGAAGAGATTCGCCATTCGCAGCTTGGGAGGCAGGGCAGGCGGCTGGGAGTCGCGATGAAGAGAAGGGGAAAGGGGTGGTGTCGGTTAGGGTTAGGACTTAGGAGTGAGGCGGCGTCGTTTTGCAAAAATGAGGGGGTTAGATGTGTCGGTTAGACGCTTGTTAGCCGGTTAACCGCCACATTTAATCCCCTTACCGAACACCGAACACGGGAGTGTTTTTTGGTTAGCTGGTTAACTGGTAACCGCCGGTTATCTGTTTAACCGGCCGGTTAACTGGCAACCGATAATCGAACCTCCAGCCCTATGAAATATATAAGAAAATTACAGAAAGTTACTACCGTACATTGGACAATGATATAAACAAGAATTCCATTAACTCAAAAATTCCTTCAAGGATTCTTGATCACCCAGGTTTGGAGCAGGTTGCGTCTGTAATGGTAGCAAAACAAAGAAATTCATTCATCTTAATCATGAGAAAATTAGCCCATAAAACAAGAACAAAAATAAAAGGAACAGACGCCTAAGCAATCAAGAAGAGAGATATTTAAACTAATTACGAAGGCATATTTAGGAATAATGACTTACATGGTGAAAAATCAGGACGCTAGCACAGAGTGCAATTGATCGATCTAGTGGAGTGGTTGGAGAAATCATACCCGATAACAAGGACGGAGAAACGCAGAATCCCCTGCAATTAATTGACATAGACTTTTGATACAAGAAGAGAGCATTGTGTTTTGTACAATTGATCGCTCTGCCCAATCCTCTTCACCTGAAGCTGGTTGTACTCCTAAATGAACTCTGATTCCCACTTGATTGTCTAGTATAGATTGATGTACGGTTGCAGCGGCGGGCGAAAACCCCTAAGGAAAAGAGGGCAATTCTGCTTCCTCGGCGATCAGATAGGCCGCAGAGTGGAATGCCACTAAAGTCGGTGAGTGATATAGGTCCCGATTCCAGGAGCAGGGGGAAATCGAGGAAGATTTCTAAAGGCTTGAGGTTGAAAGAGGAAGGGAAACCGACGAAGATTTCCAGCCAATAGAAATATTTCATTTTGATGATTTTTTTATTCCAAGGGACTGACCATAGTAAATGCAAATTTATAAAGGGAAATCCACGCTTTTTATTATTAAAAACGGGGGAGGAGACACATGCGTGTGTTGTACATTAATTGGGGGACCACAAAACACAAACTATAAACACAACAAACTACAACACAAATATCATAAAGCATACTTGAAAGTTTATAAAACATTACCAGAACCTCCTCGTACCACAAAATTTATAAAGCATACAAGGAAACTCATAACGCGTACCAGAAAGCTTATAAAGGATATCTGAACCTCACACTACCGCAAAGTTCATAAACCACACCATAAATACCAGAAAGCTTATGAAGCATATCACTAGTTTCTTATAGCACGCCAAAATTTTCATGAAACATACCAGAAATCTCGTAAAGCATACCACAAGTTTATTAATGTAGACCACAAGTTTATTAAAGCACACCACAAATTTTTAAAGTGAAGTATGAGGAATAGGGTTGCTCCTATGAATGCCTAGTTGTTAGAGCATCCACATCAATGGTAGTTGCTCAATTGCATATCCATCTGACAATCAATATGCAATTGTAAAAGAGATTGCATTAATTTATTTTTTCTTATTGGTTTATTTTTATTTATTATAAAATCTCTTAGACCCTCATATATTTAATTGCAAGTGAATTATATTGACGTAACTGCAATGAAATAAAATTAAATTAAATTGCACAAACTCTGAGATAACAATAAAAATATCATATGTAATGGAGTTTTCAATTGCATTAATGTGTATGCTGATTAGTATGATAGTAATATTAGAGGGTGTAACCTATTTGACGGAAGTCAAAATGTATGTCAATTGTCACAATATCTAAAGTCGTGTAATTCCGCCTCGTCGGAAATTCTTGGTTATCCCGTACGAGAGAGGAAGAAAGAAAGCAGTTGAACAGTTAAACAGACAATCTGCCGCTTTCACTTGCACCACTCTTCACTTCTGCACTTTTGCTTCCCACTGGAAAGAAATGCAAAGCCTCCAATCCCTTCCTCTCTTCACTTTCCCTAAAACCCTAAACCCTCATTTCTCCCCAACCCACCACCGCTGGCCCCTGTATTCCCCCAAAACCACCAAGCCTATCTCCTCTCCCCCTCCTAATTGCTTCTACTCGGACGAGTTCCCCGTCGACGAGACCTTCATCCAGAAATTCGCGCCCAAGGACAAAGAAACCGAGGACGAAGCTCGCCGGAAGAACTGGATTGACCGGGGATGGGCTCCCTGGGAGGAAATACTCACTCCGGAGGCCGATTTCGCCCGCAAGTCTCTTAACGAAGGCGAAGAAGTCCCGCTCCAAACCCCGGAAGCTATCGAGGCTTTCAAGATGCTGACCCCCAAGTACCGTAAGAAGAAGATGGAGGAGATGGGGCTGACGGAGGATGATTGGTACAGCAAGCAATTCGAGTTTAAGGGCGAAATTCCCCAACAGCTAGAGACCTATTGGACGGCGCCGTTAGTCGTCCGGCAAATGCCCCCAAGGGATTGGCCCCCGCGAGGTTGGCAAGTGGATAGGGAGGAGCTGGAGGTGATGAGGGAGGCCCATAAGTTGCAGGCGGAGAGAGTTAGTTTGGAGGAGTTGGAGAGTGAAGCCACTTCGGATAAGGATGAACTCTGTTTTGATAGGTACAAGGTGTTCTTGAAGCAGTACAATGAGTGGGTTGATGCCAATAAGGATCGATTAGAAGAAGAGTCTTACGAGGTGTGTTGCATTGTTCAGTTTGGATGAAATGTTTGATTTTCCAGAGTTGAATATGCGGTTGTCTTTGAGCTATTTGGAGGCTAAACGTGTGGAGAACTCTTTGTTGTTAACAGCTAGACCAGGACTATTATCCAGGCAGGAGAAAGAGAGGCAAGGATTACAAAGAAGGAATGGTATGATTTCCCTTATGCTGGACTCTTAGTCTTTAGTCGATTGTGGTTTACTCTAGCTGCAGAGAGATAATTTTGAACTGTCGTTTGTTGTTTTTTCTGCAGTACGAGCTTCCATTTTACTATCCTGGACAGGTAAGCATTTCAATGACAAAGATCCTTTCTTGAGCACTATATTCAATGTGTTTAATGCCATCTTTTGCTCTGCTGACAGTTTGTATCTTGACTGATGTTATAATTCAGATATGTGAAGGAAAAGTGGTGGCCTTAGCTCTGTCTCAGGGAGCCTTTGTTGATATTGGAGGTGTTCATGATGGGTGAGCCTCATCTTATGCTGTTGTTTCCATATTGTGAGTAAATGCTTGGCGTATTCATAAGGGTTATAGTCGTACTGTGGTAGTCTGCGGGTATTCTTGAAATTGTCTGATACATTATCAACACTGTGCATTTCAGCTGGGTCCCTATTAGAGGTAATGACTGGTTTTGGATTCGCCACCACATAAAAGTCGGTATGCATGTTATAGTTGAGATTCTGGTGAGTTTTTTCTGAGCATTGTGTAGCATTTCAACGCATATATGAATTTTTGGTATGGCCTGACTGGCTCTTTTGGTTTTGCTACTTTGCAGGCAAAGCGTGATCCATATCGCTTCCGTTTTCCTATTGAAATGCGTTTCGTCTTTCCGAACATAGATCATTTGATGTATGTATACCCCTTTTAACGTTTCACATTCCTTTCAAACCCTTTATTAAAGACCACTTCCACTTAGCTATTATATCCTGCAATCTACAATTGGACTATAATTGATGAAGTTTAAATGTACTCTCTATTAAAAATCTATTTTATCGTTTGTGGAAATTTTCTAAGATTAGTGAAACTATAAACAACATTATTATTTTTTTATTTGAGGAATATGAGTTAATGTTTTTTAGCAAATTTATACAATTTCTTCTTTTTTATGAATGGTGAGTGTCTTCTATTCTTAGCAACATTATTTTTTCAATTTGAGGAATATAAGTTAATATTATTAGCAAATTTATACAATGTCTTTTTTTTTTATATAAGGGCGATGCGGTGGGAATTTGAAATCTTAAAATCCTTGATCGAAGTGTGACTAATCAATAGATCACATGTCTTCCCAGTGTCTTGTTCATCATAGCATAATTAAGGGTCGGGATAGTTTTTGACAAATCAAATTAATAAAATGGTATTTATGAGACAGTGCATAAGCATACCCCTGAAAATGAGGATATGTGACAAACCCATAGAACTTCAAGTGGATAAAAGATTGATTTTCCTGCCAGTTCATACTCTTTCTTCTTTATCATAATATAAGTTATGATTAAGATTGTTTTTAAGAGAATCAGGTGATTAAAATGGGTGATTATGAGGGAAAATGTATGGCATATCCTTATATTACTCGATTTTCTGATGATTAGATTTGCGGAGTGGAGCAATAAAATTTTATGGAAATAGTTGCTCTTAATTAGGTTTTGAATTCAAATTAATGGTAGCATGAACTTTCTTTGGAGTACAAAAAGGACAGTCTTTGCAGCACCTTTTGGATCTCATCCAGGGTTCTGTTCCAGTTTCTTGAACTACGGACTACCAAACCCTGCCAGTGACGACACTCATCTTCCTTCATTTCAGATTCAACCGGTTTGAGTTTCCACCAATATTTCACAGGGATGAGGATACTAACCAAGAGGAACTATTGGTATGTTTCCCTGTCAAACATAAAAAACTATATGGTGCTCCTTTTTCAGTTTATTTAGCTCGTGGTGTCTGTACATTGATATATCCTCGCATAACTAATTCATGAGCTATTTGAAGCATGGTGGGAAAGTGTTTTTTTTTTTTACATACAACGGAAGAGGATGTTCTAGGTGGATTTTGCTTTCCAAATGCATGCCTTGCCTTTGTGTTCTAACAGATCATGACCCATCTGATTCTCTGAAAATTGTATTACATCGACCTTACAATTCTGCAGCGCGATTGTGGAAGACCTCCTGTGCCAAGGAAAGACCCAGGAGAGAAGCCAGAAAAGGAGGCACTGTTGTCTAATCATCCTTATGTTGACAAGGTGATGTGTTTTCCTTTAGTTCTTATGCACTGGAGTATTAGGAAATATAACAATATGAGTGGCTTAGCATTAATAATTTAATGAGTGCTATAATTTGTGTATTGTAAAGCAGTTATGGCAAGTTCATGTAGCAGAGCAAATGATGGTGGGTGATTGGGTTAAGAATCCAGATAAATACAAAGGCAAAAAGATATCAGAGTTGACCAACGATGAAGATATTGATGAACAAAACAATGTTGTATACGGTGAAGCTTACCACAAGAGAACCGTACTGCCTAAAATGACACTGGTGAGAAATATATTGCCGTTGAACCATCTTTCATAAAATCTGTGCAGTAGTCAATGACATGAGCTGATTTGTTTTGCAGATAACAAGTGTCAAAGAACTCGATCTGGAGGCTGCATTGTGTGAAAATGAGGTCAGAATTTCTCTAAATGTTGTAGTGTCTTGTTTCATGAAGTTCTTCTCCTGATAGATGCATGCTTCCTCTTTTCTTCGGATTCAGCATCACAGCAAACTCCGAATGGAAGCGAAGTCAAGAGGAGAGAAGTATAAGATTCACAAGCTAAAGCGAAATATTGAAATGGATGAGTACGACCTGCTACATTGGCGTCGATCCTTTGAGGAAAGAGAAGCTTTGCTGAGAGACATCAGCTGGTAAAGGCCCCTGTTTCCAATCACCTTGGTTTCATTTTCCTAGATTCCTCTGTGGTGGGTACACTTTTGTGTCTAGACTGCTTAAAAATCGGAACATGGAACTAGACTGGTCTTTCCTGCAACTCATTTCTTCCAGAAACAATGAGTCTGTTTTGCTAACACAAAGTGCCCTTATTAAATATGAAACAGCCGTCAAGCTGTTGGCCTGCCACTGGAAGAACCTGGAAGGTACAAGCCAGCAAGCTTCTTCGGGAAGGAGCAATACGATCCTGAAAATCCATTATACAGATACGACTACTGGGGCGAACCAAAGAACTCAGAGAAGAGTAAACAAAACAGAATGATGGATGCTCACAACAAATCAATTGTGGGTAAGGGCACAGTTTGGTATGATATGTCGTATGAAGATGCAATGCAACAGCAGATTCAAAGGGACGCCGCCCTTTCCAAGGCTTCTTCCCCAGCCCAGCAAAAGGAAGCTGAAGAACAAGAAGAATCAGATGATGACGAAGACGACGAAGACTGGGACTACAGTTTTTTAAGTGATTCCAGCGCTAACTTCTCCGAACAACCAGTAGTGGTCAACGGCACTGAATCACCTGGGTTGTCAGACGAGGGCATGTTTGAGAATTCACCCTAAAGATAACGGCATTGTTATCAATATCAATTGTGTTGTGGAAACATGGACCTGATGCAAAAAATGATTGATGTAATGTTACAAAAGAAAGCAAATTTTCTGTGTGTTCCTTATATGTCAGAATGCGTAGAATCACATCATCGTTCTGGCAGTTTCTACTCAATAACTGGGAACTTTCCTCGCAGGAGATGCAATTTCTACTAAACTAGCTTTTGATTCGGTCTGTCGGCCGAACTACTTTTAAGTTATTGATGCATGAAATGGGAAATAGAGGAAGAGCAGAACTGCGTATACTTTCTAAGTATTATACATTCAAAATATTAATAAAGCTTTATTTAAAAGATGATTAAATATATTACAAAATTTTGGACAAATACAATGCACTTGCTTCATATTTGTCATTATGAGCATGTGATTCATGTCAAAACAATGTTAATCATCACGTATGATACGATGAACAAGAAACCCCATGAATTAGCACAAAAATTATTCAAAATTTACATTAATTTGAAGGAATTATGATTTATAGATTTAGGGTTAGGGTTCATGATTTGGGGTTTAGGGCAAAAGTTCAAAATTGAAGGTTTAGGGATTAGGGTAATGCATTGATTAGTTGTGATCTTATATTATATTATATTATCATATTACACTAATCTTACCAATTAAAATAAAAAATTGATGTCTTAAGGCTACTTTTAGAGTTGGGTGCATTGAATGCACTCATTTTTGTGAGTGTACCGAAGTAGCCACTATATATATATATATATAAGTGGTGGCGTCTTCGATGCACTCACTTCATAACCGTCATTTTAAACATGTGATTTATGTCAAAATGATGTCAATCATCACTTATGATATGATGAACAATAACGCACATGAATTTGTACAAAACCATTAAAGATTTACTTTAATTTGTGAGTTTAGAGAATTAGGGTTAGGGTTAGGGTTTACAATTTGGGGTTTAGGGATAGAACTCAAAATTGGAGGTCTAGGGCTTAGGGTAATCGACTAATTAGTTGTTATCATATGTTATATCATCATATTACACTAATTCTACAAATTAAAATTCAAAATCCGACACGTTAAGGCCAGTTTTTGAGTAGGGTGCATTGATCCATAATAAAATAAAATAAAAGTTCAATAGCTCATTTAAACGATTTGTTACCTATTTTATACATAACATTATCTAAATTCGCTAGTATTTTAAAATTTATTCATAAAAAAGTACACATATGTCGTATTCCACTAAGTCCGCCCGAACCACTAAGTTTTCCCAAGTGACATCCTAGTATTCCACCCACGGTCTTACCGTTTCTCATCATATTCCAACTTTTCCCTCCACATCTATCGTCAACTCCTCATTCGCTTCTACCAAAAGCATATCATCTACAAAATTCTAGGATTCTAATACAAAAAATTATTCCACTTACAATCTAGTCTCGAGCCAGAGATTATAACACATGCAAAGAGACTTAATTTTATAGAGTCTTAGTCGATTGCTAGTGATTGAAAAATAATTAGTCCATTAATCTGAATTCATCGAATTATGTTACTTATAGGTTAATAATGTTAGAGAATGTGTAAATAATTTAAACATAAAGAAAAAGGTTTAAATCACATAGTCATACACATTCAGATAAATAAGTCTCTACCTGTTCCTAACATCATTGTAAAAAAAGACACATGTCCTCATTACTCGACTTTTGGCTACCTAATGAAATAAAAACCAACTACCACTAATACCACAGATAATAAGTATACTTAGTGTTTTGGCGAATAAGTCAAAACATGGCCCGATCGGAAATTCAATAAACAAAGTCGTGCAAAAAGCGCAACTGCTCACTCCCAACCCAATAAATCAAATAAGGCCCAACAGGCACCTAATATGGGAAGTGCTCGAACAGTCGGACTCGCACCAATCTGACTCGTTGGATTAATGCTCGAACATTGTAACTGATTACAAACCTTGTAAGCAATTAAGAGGACAAACAAAGTGTCATAGATTGACATGCTCCTAAACCATTATTAAATGCGCTAAGAGCGCCTGGGCACGACTTGATGGATTCAAACATAGTATTAATGGTGTTTAACATGATTTTCCTAGTTAAAATAGGGTTAACGTCTCTACAGATGGCGGACATTAACAAAGATTTTCCCATTATTCCCGATCTTGGTCTGGCTAACCTCTGGTGCTCGACCCCTCTTTCTCTTTCTAACTATTTTTTCTAATATCTTTCTTGATACTTTTCCTTCTTAACAATCATAATCAATTACCAAACCGAAAGGGTTTAACAACCTTGCTTTAAAGCATAATAGAAGTGCTCTACGAGGGCTGGGTTCCATGTCAGAACAAAAGTGTACCGGCTCGTCAACCTAGAGTGAAAACTCGACAAAACTACCGTGGTTGACCGGATTCCGGCCATGGAGGAAGCAAAGCCTTCTTATGCCAGCAGATCTATAACTCTCTTTAACCTCTCAAAGCGACTGTAAAAATGGATCAACATTCAACAGGCCCTCCCTTTTAACTGGTTCTTCCACTCCTCACTAAACTTTCATTTGTCTTCTTATCGTAGCACCAAAGTTTCTTTTAACCCCCAAACCTCGTGTGCTTCATCTCCCAAACATGGGGTTGAATCGTTCTCTTCATCTATGTTTACCTTCCCCAAATGCACTTGTCAATCAAACCAACCTCGAGCCAGGGAGCCTTTTTGTAGCCCAAACCCCTCATGGAACCGGCAACCCGAGCAAACCACTTCAACTTGAACCTCATTACAAAATTTCTGATACAGAAGAGGAGCCTTATAGACTATAGTTGGGGCAGTCAAGCAAGGACTTTCACCATGTAAGGGCCTTCAAGCTTATAACCCAACTTCCTATAGTAATGACGGGTTCCTACGCCTGAGATCACAGCTAGTTTGGTTGATCTATGCTCCCTCATAGCTATCCCCTCCGCCTCTTCCATCAAAAGCGTGCCGTATCCCTGAACAAAGCCAAGGTTTTTTTTTTTTTTCTAAAAAACCGCCCTCCCTGCAAACTTCATTTGTAAAACTGAGAAATTTCTAGGGGGGGAGATACCTGGTGCTGCAGCTTCTCTGAGTCACGCCCATGGACAGGAACTGCGGTACCATAAACGTGGAGTTCCCGAACAACGGAGCACCTACCCATCAGCTCAGGGCATGTCACGTTCTTCCCGCATCTACGCAACCGCAGGAGCCCGACCAGGATGTCCTGTCGCAGAAACATATACATAGTCTCGCCATAATGTCACCGATCAATGTTTTGCACGTCTCTTCCACAACATCAAAAGAGTAAACAGCAATACGATGTTCAAAACCTTAACTTAGAGCACTAGCATTTGGATATTGGATTTGGAACGTGATAAAACAATGGATCTTGAAACTTGTGAATTTTTTTTGTTATAATGGGTTAACTACACTTCGGACTTCAAAACGTTATTAATGAACAATGATTTTGAAAGATAAATTGACCTCAATGCCACTACCAATACTTTTAAAGTGCATATATGAATGACAAAACAGACATTGGCAGGAATGGATTTCAAGAACTCACATGTAGAGGAGGGTTTTTCAAAATCTGTGGGACACAGCGATTTTGTAAACTCATGGATTCTTAATTCCATGAAGGTAGTACATCTTTTGGTTTTCACCAAACAAGCGTTTTGAGCAATACCCTATTCTCAAGGACTTTGTGCTCCAATCTATCCAAAGAACTTCTAGGTTCAGAATTATATATAAACACATTAAAGGGACTGCTATTGCCCAAAAAAAACACAGATAGGGAGTCTCCACTACCTGACGTGTATCCTCGTACGAGAGAAACGTTTCCCAGCCTTGGTTTGCTGTATAATCACGGCGGACAAGCTCAACTTCCTCAGGCCTAATCTTGTTATGAATATCCTGATTAGGTCATTCAGGAAGTGCAATTGTTAATCACTGGAAAAAGTATAGAAAGCTGTATGGTCGACCTGATTGCATGACTCGTATCAGTTTTTTAGACTGACCTGAATTCCAGCCTCACGTGTTCGGACATCTCGGCATTTCAAGCCTAAATCTTCCATCCGGGCTAAAGCCAACTCACGTAGATTTCCTTTCTCAACACCAGATGTAACCAACGGCATGGGAATATCCCGCTGAACTCTGTAAACACGTGTCCAAGGTGGTACCATTGCTAATATCCTAGCAACAATATCTACAAGTTGCTCAGGTGGGTAATTCCTGTACCTGCAACCACCTTCAATCAATTATCCTTTTTACTGCATTGGAACTTTTTAAATAAGAAAATCAAATAGTACCACAACTGCTTAAAGTGTGAAGACAACAAATCTGGAACAGTAACCTAGAAGGAAAGACCGGGAAGAAATCGAGAGTACAAATCAATTAATCAGAAACCATAAGATACCTGCCAGTTTTCCAAAGTTCATAGAGTCCAGTTCCACGGATAACAAGAGTAGGATAGATTTTTAGTCCATCCACTCTAAAGGAGGGGCTCTCAAAGAACTCACGAAAACTTTCCATGTCTCTCTCAACCCCGACATTTGGAAGATCAGGCATCATATGGGCAACAACCTACAAGAAAATATAACGAAATAAAGACCATACTCAAGTCTGCAAATGGGTACTAATTCATTTCGTAGAGGGGGGCCTTGCAGAAGAAACCATTCATCCATACTCCACACCTCGTCTAGTAAATACATATACGTACATGTAGGAAACAACTACAGAAAATGGTAAAACAGATTCACCATACGTCAGCAGCAAGCCTATTCCAACGGAGCTTGCTGCGATATTATTGTTTTCAGGTCATACCTTATTGGAGGCTTTTAATAGTTACAGAGTTGGCCTTTTAGGAAAAAAAATATTTAATTAAGAATTCGGAGTAGGAATAGGTTTAGTTTTCCTGCTCATAAGCTATCACTGCCATACAAGAAGGTTGGTTTCACAGATTTCGAGTACAGAGCCTGGAGTTATATTTTAAGCCTTTGACATGTTTCTATGGATTCTAAATAACATTTTGGGTGGATTCTCAATCAACGTTCTGGTCCTGAATTAGATAGGAAATTCCCAAAGGCCTACTGTTTCTATTATTTGGTGGCATTTCAAGATTGCCGAGGCTATTAAAAAACAGAACCCTGAACTTTGTATTTCCCCAAATAAACTAAAGCCAGCCAGTAAGACAGAGCAGCAACAAACCTTGAAACCAGCATCTTTTGCCAAACAAAAACAATCAGCCACAGCAGCTACAGTATGTCCTCTATTAGTATCCCGTGCAACATCTTCATAAGTGCTTTGAACCCCAATTTCTAGTCTTGTACAGCCATAAGAAAGCATCTGCCTCAAATGTGGTCCAAGACAATAATCTGGCCTCCTGATCAATCAAGATTCAAGAAGGTGAAATTCCATTTTATATACAGTAAACTTATAATCATTCCAAGAAACTACTATCAAAGGAGATTCAGCGGCACATGCAAAATACATAATTAACTCCGAATTAATGATGCTGCTGAATTCCTAAGGATTCAAGTACTATGAGCAATAGAAGGGGTACTCTTGCTAATCGGATAGGTTATGTTTTACAACCTTATTGCACACTAAGACACTTACAGGCCGTGAGATCAAATGAAACATCTTAGTCATGAGTACGTGTCTATGTATTGGTTGTAAATTTTTAGGTGCATATTAGAAAATCCTGAAATTCATGACTAGCAACTTGTATACCATATATAAAAATGTCCAATAACTCACGTCTCTATCGTCATGCCAATGCACTTCGTGGCACCATGCTCAGAGTAGGCAACTGCCTCTTCGATGTTGGCAGAAGTATGTCCAGATAAAGCATCGTGCAGGCTTCTTGTAAAGTAATCACGATAATCTGCTGGCAATGACATGAAGGTACCACCCATTAATATGAACTCGACCTGAAAATGTATATGACCATTTACATGAGTACGGTGTAGCTTGAGATGTATGTCTGTCAGTTCAAGTCAATAAGATGGCACGTAAGGTCAAAAGGGCCAGAACAAGGACAACCTTATCCACACTGTGGCCCAAGCGCTTAAGCTGATCAATCCTGCTCCTGGCTTGGACATATGGGTTGTATCTGTAAAGCGAAAAGTGAGGGGGGGAATGATATTATCTTGAACACGCTCAATCTGGGGCAGTAAACCAGGAGGAAAATGAAAATAACAAACATGTTCAGGAGTCAGGGCCAAGGAAAAGAAGTTCCACTCATTAAACAAGGCTTAGCCAAAGTGGTACTATCAAGAAAAGAACCCTAGAGCAAATGCCCAGTTTAAAGGAACATACAATCTCAGCAATTGAGGTTCATTGAGACAATCCTATCCCAACAAAAAGATCTGCAAAAAAGGGATAACTATGTTCATTGTTGGTTTTTACAAGCTGTAACACCCTATCTATCAGACCTTATCATCGACTGGCGAGTCAGTGCTGCATTCATCATATCTACCAAATTTGTAACATTGACCTAAGCTTGCCAATCACACTAAGTTGATAATGCCATAGGGATAGGCAGAAATTGAGCGAGTTTTGTAAGTTCAAAGAAGATCAAGCAAAAACTATGCTTTAGTAAACTCGGGTACAGACATAGATGAAGGCTGAACGGTAACTGATCATAAAGCTCTCCCAGTATCAGTTTGCAGTAAATCATATACCTGGCTCGAATGGCTCGCATGCTAGTCGGCTCGTAACCAGTATAAGACTGCGTGCTGTACTCAAAATCTGAATCCGGTCCGCCAGGGCAGTAAACACAAATGTTGCCGGTGGTCGCAATATGGGGACAACGATGCGGCTTAGACATGACTGCGACTACGGCGATGCCGGAGGCAGTTCGAACAGGCTTCGCTCGGAGCTTGGGCAGTAGCGACTCACGGTCGGACTCGGGGAGAGCCGCTATCATCTCCACGAGCTTCGGAGCTCTTGCAAGACCGTATTTCCGGCAGGCGGCGGATTTGATTGCGTTGAGGTCGACAGTTTGATTCTTCCGGGAAAGCTCCACCATAGAGTTCACGATTTCCGCTATGGCCCTCACCCTCGCTTCTTCTTCCGACAGGCCGTGACCATGGTAGCCTCCCTTACCCGGACGCGGGAGCTTCTTGCTAGTCTCCTCCACAACCGCCGTCGCCATGACTACTAGGATCACAGTGAAAGGAAACAGCGGAAAATGAAACGAAAGAAAAGGGGTTAATAACATTTTATACCCTTCTACTATTACAAATTAACAAACATACTTTTCTACTAAATTTTTGCACAAACATACCCTTCTAATATTAAAACGTAACAAGTATACCCCTCCATCCAATTTTCTGTTAATTAACCGTTTAGTGGGTTCAAAATTGACCGAAATACCCTTATTTTAATTTTTTATAATTTTTTTATTACAAGTCACAGCCCAATTAAAAATTAAAACAAACCCTAAAACCTATCACCATTATGTTCGACAGAACCCTTCGGTATTCCTCAGTCATCCGCACCGTCGACGTAGAGAGTCTCACGCCAATCAACCAGGCAGCACCCAGCTTGTCTTCGGCAGCAGTTGGAGCAGGCTTCAGCGGGCGGCGAATACACGACGCTGGAAAGCGACGAAAAGCAGTGGGTGATCGTTTGGTAGGGGTGAGACTCGACGAGTCCGCTGCCAGAGACTTCTGCTACCCCTCTGCGACGGTGGAGCTAATGAGAACATTATTTTTGTGTTGGAAAATCCATTTTGTAAATTGGTTGCTTGTGCTCACCACTTACTATTGATGTATGAAATTGAATTTGCTTACTGATTCTGTAACTCTGTAATCTTTTTCCGTATTCACTGTTTGCTTGATTTACTGTTTTGAAAACCTCAATATATTTCTTGGTGGCTTTTCGCAAGGGTGATCTTTTCCTTGTGGTTGCTTCCATTTTACCGTTTATTAAACCCCAGCTCTAGAGTCCAACCTACTAGTGTTGTATACATATATATATATATATATATATATATATATATATATGCTTATTCGATGGAGGGAGAAGAAGCTGCGGGAGTCGACTCCTGGAGAAAGCTGGATGCTTTTAGCTCCAGCCATCCAACCGCCGGCGAGGAAAAGCACGGTGCAGCCGCTGCCGAGGGAAATTAAGCAGGCGCGCCGGAGTGTGGGCAGTCTTCGACGGTCGCGGGTTGTTGAGGAACACGAAAGGTTCCTAGGTGGAAGAGAATGATATGGATTTTAGGGTAGATTTCAATTTTACTTAGGCTTTGACTTGTGATAAAAATGATAAAAAAAATAAAAATAAATGAGCGTATTTGGGTAATTTTTCAGTCTACTTAACGGTACATTAACAGAAAATTAGACGGAGGGGTATGTTTGTTACATTTTTAATACTAGAAGGGTATGTTTGTGCAAAAATTTAGTAGAGGGGTAGGTTTGTTAATTTGTAATAGTAGAGGGGTACAAAATGCTATTAACCCTTTATGTGATGGTACAACCTTCAAATTGTGAAGTACATTAAAGCACCAATGTTTTAGAGTATAGTAGATGTGCTCGACATTGAATCATTTGTAAGAGGGCAAAGAGCAAGATTGCTAAATTGGCAATTCTTATAGCAATACCACATGAGTAGTTTTTTTCTTTTTCATTTTTCTTGCTTATAACTTTTCAATTGAGAAGTGTTTGTGTAGATTTAAAATAGTAAGTGAGACTCACTTTGGAAATTGCTAATTCATTTTAGGGATGTTGATGAATAGAACTTGCTAATGAAGAATTGCTAAATTTGATGATGTGGCCGTAGGAGCCACTTGTAGAAATTGCTGATCAATTTTAAAGATGGAGATGATCTAAGCAGTCGCGAAAGAAAGAGGGGATAATTATTTAACTTCACAAGGAATGGGATTCCTGGATCCCTTTGACAAAGAAAGAATCAGTGAAGTGTACAAAGAATTTTACTGCGATCATCTTGATTTTAATTGTCAACAAGATCATTCAAGCTTATCTCAAAACAATTTCATTTTTGTGGGAGGATTTCTCCCTGTGTCTGAGAGCTATAGTGTTTTCTCTTTCTGTATGAGAGCTACAGTAGTTGTGTCAAGAATTTTCTCTTCTAGGTAAGAGTTCTACTGGCTTTCTTCAATATGAGGATTTTTGGAGATCTCTTTAGATTTGGGAGCTTTGTTGGGTTGGTTTTCTTTGATATTGTTGCTCATTCGCTCATTTCCTTCCACATTTTGGGACTTTCTTCTCTTCCCTTCTCTTTGAAACACTGTTCTCGCTTGTAGAGTTTCGCAAGATACCGACCACTGGACATTGATTCAGGATCAGGGTAAGTGTTTTGGTGTTGTTATATTGCGGTCTACTCTTTAGTGGGAGCTCTTGAGGGGGAATTCCTCTCACTCCTGAATTTCCCCTGATTCAGGAAGCTTCTTCCCTTTGGTGGAGAAGATCTTTGTGCCTCCATAGTGAAAGTGGTTTGAAGTTACTGAAATTATCTGTTGGGTGGAAGGTTGGCCTATCAAGATAAAAATCATAAGCTACAATGTCAGAGGTCTCCATGACCCTAAAGCAGTTGAAAATATGAAAGAATTGATTAGAATACATTCACCACATGTTGTGTTCCTAATGGAAACAAAGCTGAGCGATGAAGAAAAAGAAGTTGTTAGGAAGGATCTTGGTTTTAAAAGGGAACTCAGAGTTGCACCTAAAGGGCGAGCAGGGGATGGGACTGCTATGGAATGATGAAATAGAGATCATCGAGTCATCTATGTCTTTGTATCATATTGATGTGAGGGTATCAAATCTATAAGGACCTCCCTAGAGGTTAACCGGATTCTACGAAAGGCCAGATAAGAATGAGAGACATCTTTCTTGGGCCTTGCTGAGTAATTTAAAAGATGAAAACAACCTGCCTTTGGTGTGTATTGTCGATTTCAATCAAATTCTATCAGGTAGGGACAAAAGAGGGGACAAAGTGGTTGAAGAAGATTTGGCAAGGAAGTTTCGGGAAACTCTTCATTATTATGGGCTTATCGACTTTCGGAAGTTTCGGCAAAGAATGTATAGCGGACAAGAGGAAGTTATAATGTACATAAATAGCTACTTTTGGAATCTGTTTCAAGTAGAAACAAGGGGAAACACTACTACTGTCATCGAAGCAATACAAATGAAAGTCACGGAGGATATGTAGAAACAACTATTTCATGCATCTAAAGTTGAGGAGGCGTATCTAGCTCTTAACCAAATGCACCCTATGAAAGCTCCAAGATCTGATGGGTATCCAACGGGATTTATCAATAAAATTGGTGAATACTAATAGAGTTGGTAATCGGTCTCTGGTTAATATTTTAATCTGTCATCGTACCAATAACCAACGGTTACTAGTTAAACCATTAATCGACGGTATTGGTTGGCAGCAGCCAACACACACCAAACGGTATACTGATTGTTTTCCGGTGAATTACCGATGGTTATCTGATATAACGAATAACAAGAAACCAAGCCTCTCAATCGTTAAACCTCGCCCTTAACCAAATCCAATCTTCACCCCTCTCCTTCGACTACTCTATGCCTCTCAACTTCTGTGCCACCTCCTCTACCTATAGTTCTAGGAATCTCATCTCTCCCTCAAACTTGATTCTTCTTTGTCTGGAGCATCAAGTCAAAAGAAATCCCATCTTTTGAATTTCACAGCAAAAGCAAACCAAATTACCCAAAGATGAGCTCGAAAAAATCAAGAAATCATAACACAAATAAACATCATAGATTTTCAATTTCTAGCTGAGATTTCCTCCGAATCCTGCCCATCCTTGCACTCTTTGACACTGCATAAAAAGAGAGAGAAGAAGGAAGATTTGCAATTTCCAATCCTCCAAATCCTGTCCATCGTTCCACTCTTCGACGATGCAGAAAAAGAGAAAGAAAAGGAATTGTCAGTGTCGATCCCGTGCCACTGTTCCATTCTCGAGCGAGTGCATGAGAGGTGACTAGGTGAGTACAAAGAAGAAAGAATTGGGGAGACGACGGATTTGGATTGAAGTGCCATTTCCAATCAATTCCTTCCTCCCAGGGTCCCGATATAGATTTTCGGTCGTTGGTCGATGTTTTCCTCTACCATCAGCCAATTCCCGCTAGAAGGGATAGAATGATGGAGAACGAAGGCGGCAACAAGATTGGTGGGAGTGAAGGAGGCGAGTGGAAAGAATTGCTTTTAATGGTTTGTGAGATTGAGGAATTAGTAGGGATTGGAGTTGGAGTGGGGGAGTAGCAGAAGAGTCGGTTAGACAAGTTACCGGGTTTCTAACTAGTAACCGACTAACCGGTTACCTGGTATACTGGCAGGTGACAGCCAACCGATATCGGTAGTCGATGGTATCTTGAATCTAAACGATATTTCGATAACCGGTTACCGGGTTACTGATTAAACCGGTAACCGACCGATTATTACCCCTAAATACTACGGCCTAAAGTTACCTAAATGATACTAGATATTCTACAAGAAGGTCAGATACCAGAGGAGTTGAACCATACACTTATCGCATTAGTCCTACAAGACTATAGACCAATTAGTGTGTGTAGAGTTTTATATAAGCTAGTATCTATGGTCCTGGCTAATAGGCTTAATAAGATCCTACCATATATTATATAAGATGAGCATAGTGCATTTGTTCGGGACTAGCTGTAACGGACAACACAATTACTGCTTTTGAGTGTTTCAATTACATGAAGAAGAATGTTAGCATAAAGAAATGATATTTTGCAGAAAGTTGGATATGGCTAAATTGTATGACATGGTGGAGTGGGACTTCATCGCCAAGTGATGAGAAAGTTTGGATTTCTTGAACGTTGAATTAAGCTAATGATTATGCGTATAATGAAGATATCTATTCGGTGTTGATGAATGGGCACAAATCCCCTAACTTTTATCCTGCAAGGGGGTTGGGGCAAGGGGGTCCGCTTTCTCCCTATATGTTTCTTCTCTGTACAGAAGGGTTCTCGACACTGATTAAATCTGGTGTAATTAGGGGAGACTTACATGGAGTGAAAGTGTGTAGAAGAGATCCACAAATCTCTCATATTCTCTTTGTTGATGATAGCATAGTTTTTGGGAGATTGATGAATGAAGTGGTAAATTTGAAAAGAATTCTTAGAACATACGAGGAAGAATCGGGACAACAAATTAATTATGAGAAGTCATTATTTACTTTTGGGAA